GAGGCTCCCTATCGCAAAACCTGGTCCACAGGGCTAGGGACTCAGTAGGTAAAATAATTCCCTGGAAGCATGAGGACCTGATTCCCAGAGCCCAGAGCATAGATGTCTACACTTCCAGCACTCCTAAATTAGGATGGAGGCAGAGACAAGAAAATCTCCTAAATCCCGTGGGCACCTCACCTGGTTTACACAAAGGTGGATAGCAAAGAAACGTCTCCAGCAAGGGAGAAGGTGAGGTTGTCCTCAGATCTCTATACATATGCCGCAATACAGACAAAAATACACATATATACTCATAGACACACCATGCATACACACAGGGGTGGGGATTTTAAGAAGGTGAAATTGTCTCAGTCTGCATTTTTGGTATGTATCCAAATGTATCCAAGACAAAATAAAATGTATTAAGATTCTCTCCACATACACGGCTACAATTCCAGTGTTTGCACCAATAATGACATGTCGTCTAACAACAGGTCCACTCTCTAGTGTGCCAGAAGACCAAGGGAAAAAGCATGAAGAAATGCAGACTTCAGTAAAAGCATCACCATTAAATTAAAAACTACAATAGCAAGGAACTATGGTCTTTCTCAATATTTTTAAGTCTTGATCCGATAAATTCATGCAGGATTTCTGCCAATATTTTTTTAGCTTAGTAAAAAAATCAGTGTTTAGTATTTTATTATTCTCTTCCCTTACCTTTTATTAGACCAAAGTAACCAACCAACATGCCAACCCCTCCCACTGGGTATTTGAATAGAATCAAAGGTGTTACTTTGGAGTCAAACATCGATTTTTCCAACTTTCTCAGTAACTGCGCAAGGGGCTGTCCCCCAACATCCACTGCTTTATCCTTCAAGAACAGGAGTTTCTAGAATGCTGCTGGGGAAACCACCAACCATTTGACTTTAGGTGAACTCTCCTTTAGAACTACCAATTAATGTAATTAGAAGAATGGAAGCTATAAATCAAGAAAGCCATTATTTCCAAACTCTTAATCTTAATCATCGATCAAGCATGTGGATAAAATGTGTGACACTCCTCAAAAAAAAAAAAAAAAAAAAAACTCACAAAAAGTTGACGTGGGTAAGAAATAGACAACCAGTGGGGGGCCGGGGTCACTCTTCCCCTTTCTCCTCCAGGATGTCTTTTTAAACGCACTGTGACCTAGATAACATTCAAGTGTATTTCTGGTAGTACTTGCCTACAACCCAACATATCACTGAACAATTGGGGCCAGCCTGGGATACAGAGTAAGACTTTGTTTCAAAGAAAGAAGAAAGCGAAAACAAACAAACAAAACCAGAAGAAAAACTCAAAGCAATAACCAAAAAAAAAAGAAAGAAAGAAAGAGAGCTAGACAGACACAGGAACTTTCATTCAAACTTACACTGTCAGAGACAAGCAAACCCTGGCCTTCCTCTTTTTTTTTTTTTTTTTTTTTTTTGAGTGCCCACCCAAACTGAGGGAGAATTTCTCTTTCATCCTAAACAAATTCCAGATTTTCATGCACAGGAACAGAAACCCTGCATGTATCCTGATGTGTGTGGTGATTCACTTCAGTTCTGTGAACTTGGATGTCTGATGAAGCTCTCAGCTCCAACCTTGCCACTGGCTGGCTTCAGGCCTGTGCTGCATAGATTTGTATGAAATGGACTTTTGGAATAAAGAATTTAACACATCCATAACACCTTTTATGTTCATAGCTCAAACAGCTCCATAAAAATCCAGTTAACTCATCAAACATCATAAACTATGAAGGACATACATAATTAGAACTCACTATGTGGCCAGCCAGTGGCAATGAAGGGTCAGGGTGGGGCTTAACACAAAAACAGAGTTTGACCTTTCAGTTTCTGAAATGTTATGTCTTTACTTCAGCCAAGGGCTGATGGAAAACTTCTAAACCATGGGTAAATTCTAAGAATTGTGAGTTTGGTTATGGGTACACACAGAAAGCACAATTTCAATGCCAAGAGCCCAAATAACTAGGCGTAGGTTTGGATCGAATATCAAAGCGATGTTATCAATGTCAAGTTGGAAGGAGAATGATGTGTAGAAGTCTTCATGTGTTATCTCAGATGATATCTACAGAACTTGTAGTAAGAATAAATAGTTTAGAATTTTTTGAAATGCTAATTATGTATGCTGTACTAGCATTCAGGGTGCATAATCAGGCCTTGGCCTTTTCTTGGGCTACATAACTAACGAGAAGACACTACACTTTGCATGACTTCAAATGTGCTTCCAGAGAGCTTAAGCACATAGGTGGTTGTTTTCATGCAGTTTCAACTTACGTGTGTCTCCACACCTCTCTGGACTTCCATTTTATGTTTATGAGAACATTACTACCAGTTTGGTAGGGTTGTGGTACTTGTAAAGTGTCTAACTGATTTAGAAAAAGATAATAAAATACAATTGATTCATTTAATTTCATGTGGATATGAAGAGGGCTATCAGAAGGCAACCTTGGATATTGTTTCCTAGTGCTAACTACTTTTATTTTCTGCTGAGGCAGAGTCCCTCACTGGTATGTAACTCCCCAGATAGGCTAGTCTGTCTGCCCAGAGAGCACCAGGGACCTGCCTATTGTATACAGCTACTAGTCTATGCCACTCTGCCCAGTGTTTTTGCTGTTGCTTTGTTTTGTTTTGTTTGTAGGTTATAGGGATTGAAATGAGATACTAATGCTTGTAAGGCCAGTGCTTACTGTCTGAGCCATGTCCTCAACCCATAGGATATGATTAAAACATTGGTTTCTTTCTTTCTTCTACTTTTTTTTTTTTTTGAGACAGGGTTTCTCTGTGTAGTTTCAGTGCCTATCCTGGATCTCGCTCTGAAGACCAGGCTGGTTTCTTACTTATCACCCTGAGCCTTCCAAACCCTTTTAGGGCTCAGCAAGAATGATCCTACATATACCCATTTCAAAGTAGTCAGCTTTTCATGATACAACCACCATGTTTTAGCAAACAAAGAAAAGGGAATAGAAAAATTCAAGGGAAGAGTCAAGGGACCACTGGTATCCACCTATCCCAGTATAAGGGACAATAACAGGCAACCTCATTCCGAAATATTGCTGATAGTTTTTCTTTAATTGATGGTTGCTCTAAAAAACAAATACTAGCCTGATTTAAAGGCCTTCAATAATGACAGCACAAATATATTATTAAAGAATAAATGACTATCAAAGTAAGTGTGATATTTCTACTGCTCAAGATAATCAAGCATATGGTACATATATACTTAACAATATATGAAATATAAAATATACTCTTCTTTCATACATAAAGATTTACCAAACCACCACAATAACTTTATGAGTTAAACATATGTCTTTATCTGTTTTATAGCTTGAACACACACCAGTATATAACCTGACAAGATGGATACTGTAGAGTGATCTTATAGATAATAATACAACATGAGTTTGTCACTTTTCATCAAATATGTGTGTTACTGATACTGTGCAAATTCTAGAGTCAGTAGGTGGTGCATGTGGATATACATCAAGCAGGACAGTCCTTTCCCTTCTAGAACTTTAATATTTCAGATATTAGAATTAAGACCTTCTCTCAAATGGACTTAGTCCAACTATTGATGCTTATTTCTAGTTTTACTGTTACTGAGGTAATGGCAAAGGACCCAGAGAGGAGAACATTCTAGGTGGACCTTGTTGCTGCTTGCTTTGTTCCCAGAAAAATGCTTAGTATGTAGCATGCACTCTCATTTTTAAGGTGCTTATATAACTCTGAGAATTAGTACTGTTACAATTATTATTTCTCAGGGGGAAACTGGAGCACACAGGTCTGACCTAGCTTGCTGAAGGCTGTCCAATCTGTTACGGTAGACATGAGAATAAAAATGGGGTATAGTTATTCTACAACTGCACAAGCTCACCATGATGCCAGATGGCAATGCATACAGTACTGTGTCCCACCTTATGATAAATTTCACCATTATAATGATGATAAATCATCTAAACAGAAGACATGGACACCAATAAAGCCCAAATTGTTTTATCCAACAATGATACTGTATCTTGTTTAACTACAGGTCTCATCCTTTGCAATACTTAGGACTATAAGTACATAATATTTAATAATAATCAATTCATAAAATAATGTCCTTCTGAAATATTTAAAAGATATTCTTATCTTGAAATATAAATCTTCTTTTGCTTGCTTGAGGAAAATAATATTGAACTAACAATTTACCCTGCAATCACCTCAGCTGCCGTAAGTAGGATGCACCCACTTTATTTATAAAATTAAAAAAGAAACAGAATAAAGCAAGCCTTTGTTGATAGCATATAATGTAACACTCTGCAATTTAGAACTTTCACCATGGATAATTAAGAGAGGAAGACCGAGACGGGAGGGAAGTTGACTGGGAAGATAAGAAGGAAGGACAGGAAAACACAGAAGAACTAAAAGAGCCACCAAGGGAAGCAGCAGTGAACAGTGCACCCAATGTGCACACATTCCACTGCACAGCCAAAGCATCCAGACCAGAGCTCTCAGACGTTCCCTACAAAGAGTAAGGTCAGGACATGAATAGCCATTAGATTAGGTCCCCACTTCAGACTTTCTAATCTTTCAGGGATATCCGTACTTTGATTGCCCTCAGCATAATCTATTGCCATTGGTAGTATAGTTACCCCCACCACCACTAATCAGTCTAGAAATATATGCCAGTACAGACCTGACAGCACTAAAGAAAGGTTCATTTTCATTACAAATGAACACGTTTGAGTCACGATCATAAACGTCAAGATAAATCTGAATAATATGATAATCAGTAAGTCAGAACCTCTTAGTTAGCCATTAAATGGATGCAGGAAGTTCAATTCAGTCTTGCTATTGTCACCCCCCAGACTTTTTTGTTTGGTATTCATGGATCACCAGAGCACAGCGTTTTTCAACTCCAAGTTTCTAAGAACAGAAGTCTGTCTGTGTGTCAGATCCATTCACGAGTCCGCACTCCTCCACACTCCTCAGTACCTGGGGTTTATCCAGACGCATCCTCTTGGCAGCATTTCTACTCTCGCTTTCACAGGCTGAAGCCAAGATACTCTCTGCAACTGCTGAAGTAAGGTGGGAAGGAATAGGTCGAGACTAAAAAAAAAGAGAGAGAAAGAATATGAAAAATTATTAACAGTATCATTAACAGACCACATGTCAGAAGAGCTCAGAAGGCCATCAACATGGGCAGGAGAATCTATTTCAATAGAGGAAATGGAAATTGTAAAGATGAAAAATGAAAGCTAGTTAGAGGTTAGAGCTACAGCTGCTACACAGAGCTATTGTTCATTCCTGTGTCTCCGTTGTCACGAGTACTTATTTAGGGTCATTATGTTGGAGTATGAACAAGCAATGGCAAAACTGCTGACCATAGTTCGCAAATAAAACATGCCCTTTAATTCTTTTATGAACATGACAATGCACACACAACCAGAACAAAAACAAACAGGGCTGTCACAAAACAAAACAAACTAACAAAAATTAACCAACACCACACCATGCCAAAAAATCTAGATTTTAAAAAAATGTGTGTGTGTGTGTGTGTGTGTGTGTGTGTGTGTGTGTGTGTGTGTGTGTGTGCAGCATGTGCATGAAGGCCATAGAATCACCTCAGATGCTGGTCTTCATCCTCCACCTTGATTGAGAAGGTCTGTTTTATCGCTGTGTTTGCCAGGCTAGCTGGTCCAGGAGTTTCCATGGTATCTCCTGTCTATGCCTCCCATCTTGTTATTAGAACAATGTAATTATGAATATTTGTTCCCATGCCCATATACCAAACAATCATAATGTGAATAGTGCAAATGCTTATTGAGGTTTAATTTGATGAAGAATACATATGGTTAAAGTACCTGGAACATTTCTTACCTTGGTTAAATACAAGATAACTGAACCAGCCACACAATGATTTCTGTATACACAGGGTTTTTTTTTTAACGTGAGATTATTTGCCTATGTGTTTAAATCCATGTTTTCTTTTATTTATTAAATATGAATATGAGTTTATATTAATAATTTAATAGGCACATGTTGGAAAATATATCTTCTACATAAGCTACATAGAAATTAATTAATCTTCTGACTGAGCTAATTATAAAATATGGGCAACTCTCCAGATCATTTACTATAATCACTGAAAAGTTTTTCATTCTTTTGTCACATAATTACATGTGAAACTATCTAACTGAAAGATGAAATACTTAATGATATAGCACATTTTTAATTAAGATAAGCAAAAGATAGATTTAAAAAAACACATGAAAATTAAATCACAGAGATAATAACAAAATAGGGCGAAATTGAAAAATATATGTATCCTGGATGCCTAGCATGTACTTTAACATACCACTTCAGGGATTTCAAAGCCTCACCACAAAGTATGTGTTGTTATTTATTTATTTTTGAATTAGAAATATCATTGTGTATGTCTAAGCACAAGTGTGTGAGTGCCAGGAAATAAATACATGGAAATCAGCAGACAACTTCCAGAAGCAGATTCTCTCATCCACTGTGGATTCAGGGCTTTGAACTCACATCACTGGGCTTGTGTATAAGTTCTTTACTTAGGGATGATGTTGCCAGCCTTGCATAGATATTATTTATTAGAAGTCTCTCGTGTGATTCAGGCCTTTTTTTTTTCTCTCCTAGCAACCTTGAATATGCCTTTGTTGTATGTGTCTCATTTTACTGACTTTGTTATATAAAATGTGCTTTAGGAAATTGAAATACAAAGCTTTTGTCTGAAATGGTACTCTAGAGTAGCTAAATTCAGTCCACAGTGTTTTAACACATAGAGGAAGGGATTTCTGCAGTTTTGCATTTTTGGAATTTTTTCAAACGCTTCCTTGCTGTTTCCACTTCCAAACCATACTCCATGGGTCAGAGGGAGAGGTGGCCTCAGTCTTTCTCTTCCGGTCCTCTGAGCTGTCTGGGATGATGGATAGACATCTGATAATGAAGTACCATGAGGTTCAAATGTTACTTTTCTCAAATAAAGGGAAGAGAGAGTCCCTTAAACAGTCAGGAGCACATGATAGATGTGTTTCTGAGAAAAATTATGCCAGGCTTTTGTCTTGAGAACCAAGAGGTTCAAATGAGGCAAACCCAGAGGAAAAGTTTGTCTCAAAACTTGTATGGCTTCATTTCACTGTCTACTTCAAGTATGGAAAACACACTCTAGCACAGCATCAAATATGTGTTGAACCATAAAATCAGTCCCCCAATAAATAATGACCACTGTCTGGCAAAGCATTAGAATCTAAACTATATGGAAATTTTATCTATGCCCTTTTCTATGGAACTTCCTTTGAGGTAAAGTTATAGTAGAAGTGGAAATAAAGACATTTCATTACGAAAAAAGAAAATAAATCATCTGATATGAAGCTGGTATTATTTAAATGGTGTTAGGAGTTTATAAAAATCTATCTGCATTATTAGATTTTCATCTGGTTCCAGGAATGAAATTGATAATCTCAATTACATATCAGAAATCCTCTTTTTCTTAGTTTAACCAACAATAGTCACACATGGCACAGGGATACATGCTTCCGTTTCTTATTATTTTTACATTTCTCTTTTTTTTACATCTCTATTCCAAATTAGATATAAAAAGTTATAAAATTTAGTAAGTTGATGGGATTTCACTAATGAACATGCAAGTTTCTTAAATATGTGTTGAGTATGTTTTATTTTTTTGTAAAAGTTTGTTGAACAGGAAGTTTGTTAAACATGACCAGAAAGTAAAAGAAATACTTTAAGTTAAAACTATTTCACAGAGGGTTGGCGATTTAGCTCAGTGGTAGAGCCCTTGCCTAGCAAGCACAAGGCCCTGGGTTTGGTCCTCAGCTCCAGAAAAAAAAAAGACAAAATTATTTCATAGAAATTCTTTCTTTATTTTTTTAAATTGAAGAATTAAGCCAGAGGTGTGGCTTTTACTCTAAGAATAAAAGTTGGCCTTCAAAAGAACTTACATAATTTTCTTTAGAGAAAATCATGGAGATTATATGGTCTTTCCCCTATGTGTGACTGGTCTATTCAAGCACAAGAAGAGAGTTCTGCCTGAGTGGAACAAATTATCCTTTTAAGGTCACCTGACAATTGTACGTCTCAGACTTGGGGAGAAAATTAAGTTCAAAATCAAAGCAATCATAGACTCTTCTAACTAGTGGGGAGATAAGCAGACATACAGACACAAGATTCAATGCTGCTCACACATAAGACAGAATTTTGAAAATTGAGCTGTTCTAAGTTTCTTGTGGAACTATAATGTGACAACGATAGATGACCTTTGAAACAAAGTCACAGACAGTTTGTTTTCCTCAAAAGTCTGAAGAAACTGACAGCCAGATAGATTAATTTGCCGTGCTAGAACCAACAGATCTACATTTGGGAGTTAGGCTTCCTGGATTCCAGTTCTCCATTTTTTCTTTTACATTGTATTGTAATTAGCACTTCTAAATAATTAATAGTTAATGAAATAAGAAGCTATTAAAAACAGTTATCTGCAAACTGATGTGTTGATCCAAAAACAAGAAGAGAAAAGTCATCCTATACAAATTTGTATTATAATCCTGTTTTATTCAAGATCACTGGACAGAATGGCAAAGTGAATTAGGAATCCTCAGTGTGAGATGTTTTTAAAAACCTCAAGTCTCAAATGTATAATCTATGTGTGTTTCTAAGCAGAATCTTATGTCATGTGAATACAATTTTGAGATGATTCTCAATAATAATTCCTATTGGGAGCTTAGGATATTCATAACTTAATACAAAAAGCTTAGCTTCATCATCTAAGTTTCCAATCCTTGAGAAAAGTGCTTACATTATTCATTTTTTAGAGAAAGTTAAATCAAAGTTTGAAGAGACTGCATGACTTGGCCAAGTCCATTAATCATATAGATTCACTGGGATTCAAACATGCATGATATGAAATTGTAAATAATTTATATTAAAGAATTATTTTCACTTCATAATTCCAGTGAGATAATACAAACTGGAAGATGGATTATTATAGATAACCTCATTTTGTTTCTAATCAAGGAATTAATTAGGGCTTCTCTAGTATCTTCATTTTTGGGTGATTTAAATCTTTGCCTTACACTTCTCTACTAATTCCTAAATACTATGTTCTGCCACAACCTTAAGTCACAAACTATTAATGTTGGATAGGCCGGAAGTGCCAATCAATTACTTCACATGATCCTGTGGTCGAGCTCTGTTTCATGCCTGCAATGAAGGTGTAGGAGATTCTTCATGAGCTATCAATTCTAGAAAGCACTTTGCTTCTAACACTGGTGAGTCAATAGTAAAGTTCTCAGCGTCCCATACATAGTTCAGCGATATTTCATCTAATGGCGATATAGCTGAGGTTAAAACCATTGGCTTGATTTTCCTTCACAATTTGTCTTTTATCTACTTCTCAGCTCAGTTATTTATATCAAGAAGGTGAGAAGAAAATGGATCCCGGTAGCATCTTATCAAACAATATTCTGTGGTATGAAGTGTGGGCACAATGGTAACCTGAATCCTCGGTTCTGTCATCAAACTTAACAGCTGAGGGCTGATTCCAGTGTTTCTGCTCTAGAATGTAACGTCAGAATATGCTAAGGGATTTAGTCAGATTTCAACAGTAGCGAAGGCTAGATTCCTTCCCTTATTCCTAAGACTGGCCATAAATACAAATGCTTACATATAGTAAATGAGCCAGGAAAAAGCACAAAGAATCCAAGGAAGAATTTATGAAAAACAGTACCTCTCCTGGTGAATGTGATTTTAGTAGACATACTATGAGGCATATGTATCTTAAGGGAAGATTTCTGGAATGATTAAAATATAGACAAATGCACAGTGTGTGTATGTGTGTGTGTACGTGTGTGTGTCATATACCTCTACCAGAAATTTGCTATTTCTCCCCCCTGCATGTGGGATAAGCTCTTAGTAATTATCTCTTCATAATTAACAGTCATTCTCAACTGGATCCCAAGCTGAACTTTCCTCTGCACTGTTCCTGCAGTCATAATTATCTAGGTTAAAATCAGTGGGGTTGTGTCATCCAACAGATGGCTAAATGGTCACACAGAGCTTTGGAGTTGGAAAAG